GCACGTGTGCCATAGGTTTGCCATCATGGTTTTAGAGTTTAACTCCTAGATAACCAAAGAAAAGTTTCTTCATTTGCTACGAAGTCACTTTTCTAAGAGAGTTTCTATGACCCTGGGTCATTGATTTTTTTTTGAAGATCATTGATTTTCACCCACCAGCAAATTATAGTTAGATATTGGAACAACATCTCTACATGACAACCAGAGTTTCTGGGATCCTCTGCATTCCTCTTTACTGTGAATTCTATACAGAGCCAAGAAGTCCGAAGCCAGGATTCTTGGCTTCCTTTTTTTGGGAAGGCGGAACCTGAATATACCATGCAGCTTTGTTTACAAGTAAAGCCTTTGATATCGTTTCGAGGCACAAGGAGGCAGCAGAAGACTCCTGATGCTATCACATATAGACCAGGAAGAAGGTGGCTTCGGGAAGGCAACGTTGGACTTGATGAATAGTAGTATCAATAAAATCCTCCTGCCTTTAGCTGAAACAAACCAATTCCTGTGTTTAGTTCTTGATGTGAAATGGCACCTCAGACTGGAACTCTGGAATATTGTGCTATAGAGAGAGGTTCATGTAGAAAAGCCCAGTGTCTCAAAGAAGAAGAGTTGAAATGCAGCCTTCCAACATGTTTTTCTTTTTTGCCAAAGGTGTAAAAATTTGAAAATGTCTAAAATAGTTGGGTTTGGGGAAAAAAGGATACATTGCACTTTAGTAGTGCAGAAGCTTAGTTTACAATGCACTGATGAAAGACAGTTTTAGGTACTATTAACTTTTGTTTTTTTTTAATCTTGTGTTTTGATGCTTGCTATTGGGGAAAAAAAATGTGTCTGTGATGTGTGAGAATATGTGGGAAATACAGAATACCTTCTGAAATGTAGTTCCTAAAATACAGCTACTGTTGAATGACACAAATACTTGCTCCCCTTCATTTTGTATGATATGTATTCCTCATCTTATGGGAAGGGCAATACTTTGAAATTCATTTTGAAAATTCAGTTGTTCCCATGGTCTTGTGATTTATATATAGGTTAAAAGATTGCTACTGGTGATATTTTCTCCTTCACTTTAGTGTACTGTATATAATTAGGGAGAAATAACTTCAGATACGCAGATGATACCACTCTAATGGCAGAAAGTGAAGAGGAACTAAAGAGCCTCTTGATGCTGGTGAAGAAGGAGAGTGCAAAAGTTGGCTTGAAACCTATATATAAATCACAA